GGGGGGGGGGGGGGGGGGGGGGGGGGGGGGGGGGGGGGGGGGGGGGGGGGGGGGGATCAACTTTCGCGGTAATTCGGGAGGCTTTTTACTCACCGGCGACTTCCTGCATGACGACGTCCGTGAAAGCGGCCAACGCCGCTTCGGCCTGGTTCTTGTTCAGGTTGCTTCGCTCCGCAATCGCCTCGACTACCGCCGGCTTCCTCAAGTTAACCGACGCCTTTCCCTTTAGCGAACGGGCATGTGAAACAGAAAAAACGGGCTCAAGAGTACGTACGTCCAGCAATTATGCAGCAGATTGTGCTGACACTTGAGGATGACCTCTTGCACGGACTTTGCCGCGTTAAAGACAAATCATCGCTAGGCTTTAGCCAGAAGACGTGCGTGTGTAGGACCAAGAGAATCCAAGAGAGCGGCTTGGAGTGTCCAGGGTGTCACCAAGGCCATGAACAAGGAAGAGAGGTTGGTGCGGTTTGATGCTGACGGGAGAGTGAACGAGCCTTTTGATCTAAACCGCAAGGGGCGAGTTCGAATCAACCAAAGCCCCCGGGGGCCTCGGGAAACCATGTAGACATTTCTCTGTTTCGGTGCTAACTTCTGAACCAAGATGACAAAACATATCGTCCCGCACCTCATGTACGACAAAGTAGAAAATACAGCAGAGCCAAGAGAACGACGACCACAACATAAATCTGTCCTGAAACTGCCCGTTGATTGTGATGTAACTTTTGAAAAGTAAATTTCCTCAGCCGTCGGGTGAGGCGTACCATCGACGGCACTTGAAGGTAGGCGCGGGATTGCGGTCTTCGAGAAGGGAGAGATCCAGAAATGTACCCACACCCCAACAGATGGGCAACAGGAGTCGAGGGAGACCGTCTCAGGACGAAGACGGGACTCAGCGAGGGGCCGGGCTCTATCAGTCTGAAGCGCATGGTAGATCGCACACATGCTGTGGTACGTGCACGCAATGCACACTGCTGTAAGCTACCGTACATGAGTGACGTAATAACTCACGCCCCCCTGGATCGAATTTCATAGCTCGATTACTCCACGATGAGAGGATGCATACATCAAACGATTCGTTTCCAGAAATCTCTGACGAGATGCTTCCAACGCCGCCAAAAGAGGGCACCGCCACCTTCCTATACTGTGGAGCAATCGAGCCTTGAAAATCGGTCCAGAAGGGTGGTGATATCTTCTGTCACCCACGTTACATACTGTAGTGGGGAGTGGGGAAGATGAACTCCCGCGCGCTCCACGTGTGGAACAAAAGAGATTTGAAAAAAAGGAGCGTGACATAATGCATGACACGATTTCGCCTTCAAACCAAAGGCCTCAAACCATGCAAAAAGCCACGGCGATTGCCTTTGCACGGAGCTACCTCTCGACTCTCTACTACTGTCATCTCCCTCTCTCGCCCTATGTGCCTCTTTCTCTCACTCGCATGTTCTACAAAATGTACGTCTGTCTATCTTGTCTTCGAGGGGCTACGGCGGGGCTTCATGGAGGCATGAACACCCCAAACAAAATCAAAACCCACGATTTCGCCGTTGTGTGCCACTTGTCTAGGGAGTTACGCGGCGCAATAGAGGCAACGTGGTAGGCCAAAATGGTCAGCAGCATTGCCCAGTGGAAACTGTCGTGCGCATAGCACCCACTCACATCACTGCCATTGTCGGAGGCTGCAGCCTTCAAGGAGGTCGAGGCCACTCCCCGCCTCACGATGTTGTTGCTGCGCGCCGCAACCGAGACGCAGTTGGAGAGGACCAGCCCTCCCGTGGGACCAACGAAGCCTTGTCCGAACTGAGCCCGGAATGCGAGAGCTAAAAGCAGAGAGCACTTCATCGTTGATGCTTCTGTTGTTCTCGTTGGAGGTACGCCACGGAGAGAGCAAGAGAGAGGCTGTGCGGTGCTGTGAGTTCCAACAGTCCAACAGTTGCCACCCGCGGAGTTCCTAACTGTGTTGAGCGGATTCGTCAAAATCTGAAACCGTCGTTGCATTTTTCGTGTGTCTATTCCGTTTCGACGTACTGCTTTCGAATCAGCCCGCCCCTTTCATGAAGGAGCCCTTCTCCCTGCTTGGTTGTTGTTGCGTTCTGATTCTTCCGGTAGGCCGCCATACGCGGAAACGGGTGAAAAGCCTCGGCCCAGGCAGGCCTCTGGCGAAAAAAAACATATTTCCTTGTAAAGCACAGCATGCCCATCTCGCGCTGCGGTGCTCTGAAACCAGCAAAATAGACAGTTGAGGGGTTCGTTCGACACTCATGTTCCTATCCGCAAGTTCGCTGTCGTAGACAAGACACAAGAATTCCTGTCAACAGTAACAGCAGTATCAAGATTCTGACTTGGCGTGAAAATCGAATGCATAAGAATTGAAGCTAACTGTTGAGAGGCGTCAAGCAGCAGTCAGCCCGCTGTCCCTGTGCCCGGGATCCTAGAAGAAGCGCGGCGGCAAGATGGAAGACCCCGACATTTTCTGCGACATCAGCCGGATGCACCAAAAGCAAATCACGATTCACGCTGGGGACGAGGGTCTGGCGGAGACGGGGCGCGTCTTGTATGTGGAGCCAGACTGGACGACGGACGATCTGCTGCAGGCCGCGGGCAGGCGGCTAGACCTGGTCTCAACCCCGAAGAGGATGTTCAATTGCAATGGTGAGGGCGTGAAGCTTCTTGAATGCGTTATAGCCAAGTGCCTACACGGCGACGTACTGCTGTAAGTGCTTCGAACGTGTTGCAGGACGTCTGTTGGTTCCACCTCCTTGATTCCCCACGAAATAATATGATTCAGATGCTGCTCCTAACTGTACAATGTTATACGCAGTTTGACTACAACATACCCACAGAAGGGAAGGGGCCCACCTGCAACCCCCTTATGGTGCAACCGTGTGCATAACATCAACACTAGACTACAGGCATTGGGGGGTTGTAAGCCTGCGTGATCTTCATCTGTCAACATCTGTACATTCCTGCCTGTGAGGAACAGGATCAGATTCAAGCTTCTACAATGGTAGAAACATGATTATCATTGAGGATGCCCCGTCTCCTGCATAGCATTTGTTTGATTGAAACCCGGTTGACTCGCTGCCGCTGAGATGATCACGTTACAATCGTTCCTTATCATAGCTTTACCGAGGGTCTGGCCTCCTGGCCGACTAGACTGTTCCGTCCCGAATCACACAGGGATCCTCTCCCTACCGCCCCCCCCTCCTGAAACACATGGCAATGGTTGTGAGTACAGCAGAGGTGGATGTAGCATGAATTTGTCTACATAGGCAAGCGTCCCCTTTGTGGTCATGGACACGGTGTTGAAGCAAGAGCACGGTGACGGTGAAGGGACATTGGAAAATGTGAGGTGCGCATCTGCGTGGCACGCAATCGCATGGGCTAGGCGGACAACGGCAACAACTGACGAATCTACTTCAACGAGTTTGGACATGTTGCTTAGTTGAGGAAGCTGTGCATTTGATGAGAACGTTTCGGGTATAATCGTACTACCCCTGTCCCATGTTGCTTGTAGCTTTCACAGACTGGTAGGTACCACAGGTGCTGGGAGGTAGGGCAAGCCAGGAATTTCTACGTAGAGTGAGATTTGCTTTTTGTGCTTCAACGAATACAATTGGTTATATATTCCCGTTGCCGATGCAGCATGCTGCAGTTGCTCTCCACGGTCACAATTGCTGCTAAACATCCGCCGATGATCCTCGAGATAAACACGTTGTGTTGAAGGCGTGTCCTAATAATCATTTTTTTCATCGAACCAACCCTATCAAGGCATGGAGGTGGCCGACGTTATGATGATCGAAGATCGCGAGGTGATATTCTTCACGCAGGGTGGGGACTACGTGGCGCCGCTGTTGGCCGACGGGGACGATGCGGACGGCGGCGGCTCAACCTCCGGCCTGCCTGCCGTGGTCGGTGCCTACAAGGTACTCCATTCGAGTGATGGACCATATCGCAGACAATACACATCACATCTGGGCTTGTTTCCACACACTGGAAAGCCTGTTTGGCAAACTCTGCCGGCCAGCACCTGTGTTACCTACCAGTCTGTGAAAAAAACTACAAGCAACTCATGTCAAGGACATTTATATTATAGCACGTTTAGACCCGAAACGTTCTCATAAAATCCACGGCTTCCTCAACTAAGCAACTTGTCGAAACTCTTTCAAGTAGATTCGCCAGTTGTTGCCGTTGTCCGCCTAGCCCATGGAATTGCGTGTCACGCACACGCTCACCTTGGAGTTTCCGTTGTCCCTTCACCGTCACCGTGCTCTTGCTTCAATACCGTGTCCATGACCACAAGGGGGACCCTTGCCTAGACAACTTCATCCAAAGCCTTACATATATGCCTTTGTGCTTGTCGTCGTGCGCTCAACGACAAGGTGAACGAGTTTCTGGGCAAGGGCGGCTTCGGAGAGGTGAGGGTCGGCGAGCACCAGCTCACAGGGGAGCGGGTAGCGCTGAAGTTCTTGAGGAAGAGCGCCATCGCGGACATGGGGGCGGCGGAGCGGACCACCACCGAGATTCAGTGTGAGAACCCGTGGAACAGGGAGGTGCTGTGCCTTTAGGGCGCTTTCGACACTCGTAGAATGAGCGGTGATCTGTAGGTAGTCGGGCAGGTGGCAGCGTCGGCTTAGCATTGGTTCTGTTTTGGTGTGGAGAATGAAGGCACCCGGAAGGGTGAATTCAGGAAGCGAGGAACCCCGTGATCCTTTTGGACGCAGCAACTACGCGCCGTGTACCGGGGACAGGGGGCGTGCGTCGACGTGTCCGAGACTTGTACTGCTCCTCACCGAGCATGATTTGTTCGTGGGACCTACCTCGCCCCCCTCTTGACCATAAATGTCTTCCAAACAACGCACCAAGGCCACAGCCGCATAGCACGTACTCCTACATTTCAGTCCCCTGCCAAGCAAGGAGTCAACGATAGCCATAGTTCTGATAGAGGCCTATTTCATGCACGGAATGAAATCCGACGAATTCTGCTAGGATACTGGAGTTCTGCAAACTTCGTCGATTGTGATATCCTTACACGCTCCGTCGCCCTTTTTTTTCTTTCCCTGTATACTCTATTGCCTGCCAGGCCTCACGGCGCTGAAGCACCCGAACATCATACGCCTCGTGCAGCACATCAACTCCTCGCAGAACGTCATCATGGTGTTTGAGCTGGCGGAAGGGGGTGACCTTTACCAGTTTCTCTGTGGAGCACCCGGGCAGCGTGTGGACGAGGAGGAAGGGAGGGCGGTCTTCCGGCAGGTTGGATTATTGCACATACGTCCGCTGCTTCCTCTACTGCTCCTGCTGCTGCTCCTGCTGCTGCTGATGCTGCGAATGCATGCTAGATGAAGCGCCGTTTTCGTCGACGCCACCCAGCCGGACAGTCTTGATTCACGCCTTTCTCAGCATTTCCCACCTAATTCAACGCTGCCATTGCTCGAAGGATTTGCTTCGTTGGACGACTTACTCGTGTCACCAGCGCCTGCCTGTCGTTCGCGGGTTGTTCGTGCGCGTGGCGGTCAATGGCTCACGGCCCTGCTCTTGCTTGACCCTCTCCACACCACTGCTGTACCGTCTCAGATCGTTAGCGGGGTGGGGTACGCGCACAACCAGCACATCTGCCACCGCGACATGAAGCTGGACAACGTCTTGCTTTCTCGCCCGGGCTGTCTGAAAGAGGTGAAGCTCGCTGACTTCGGGCTCAGCGACTTCTACCGCCCCGGCGCGACGATGCGCACCAACTGCGGGTCGATTTCCTACCTTGCGCCTGAGGTGAGACTTTGGACCAAAAAGGGGTGGGTGACCTGGCACAAGATGCAAGGTTCCATCGCATGGTTTTGCATTCCTTTTCTCTGCTCCTGGCAATGAGGGTTTTGTGACAATTGGGGAATGCCGGGTGTAGGCGGACATGGTTTTTGTGCCGCGTACACAGTCCCCTTGTGGAAGAAAAAGAAAACACACGCAACGTGCGAGTTTCTGAACCTTGTAGGTATGTGTTTTCGTATTTGTTTGCTGGGGGTGTCAGCTTCACGGTGTTTATCGCCCTTCTTGGCAGATATTCATGTCCTTGCGATGAACATACTTCACGACAACCCACGATTTGCGCTTACGGAACGCTGCGCGTCACCATCATATCTGAAGCAATGCTACTATGCACCGGCGACAGTATGAGTGGCTCGAGTTTTCGCACGCGTCCATCACAACACCTTCATGAAACGCTGTTGGCGTGATAGACCGGAACGCGTGGACCAATATACGGAGTCTGTACGCCAGCACTAACATGAGATTGCATGTACCGAGGGGACGATGAAGAGCATTCGGGAAAGCTAACGAAACTTCGAAACACGAAATGGCAGGTGTTTCGGGGAACGTCGAACGCCGGGCCTCCGCTAGACGTGTGGTCCATCGGGGTGATTCTGTTCGCGTTGTTGTGCGGGCGCCTGCCCTTCGAGGGGAGCGATTTGCAGGTGAGTTTCCTTCTAGGGAAGGCGTTTTGAAAACGGCCGCATTCACTCGCGGCAGAAGCTCGAAGAAAAGTGCCGTTCAAAACGCGTCAAGACAACAGCTGCTGCTGAGTTGCAGTATACCCCTCCAGTCGGGCTCTCTCGCTACAATACCCTTTGCTGCATTCCGGCCAGCAGGGCACGAACCGACCACGAGAAGCAGCCATCCGGCGCCGGATCATGGAGTGTCGATACAAGCCTGCGGAGTCGCTTTCGCCAGAGGCTAAGGTGGGGTGTGCTCGCTTTCCCCGTAGCTTTGCCTCGTCGAAAATTTCGCGTCTGGGGCGTTCGCTCGGACCTCGGCGGGAGAGCTGTCCTCTCATGATTTGGTACACTATCACGGTTAGGTGGCGAGAGGAACGAGGGGAAAAACAATGTTTCAGGCAAAGGTACACCTTCGACGCAGGTCGCTGTGTGGAGTTTGGGTGGTTGTGGAGTCTGGGTGGCAAGGAAGTATAGGACATGAGGTGAAGATCGAGTTTTCAGCCGTTATTTTCCGTGAATGTACTCGTTCGTTTCAGCCGACGGTTTCACGAGGCTGCAGAGGTTGTGGGGAATGGGGGGAGGAGGGGGGATAATCTTGAAAGTGGACTATGTGGCAACTTTCGATCCGCGTGGGCGCACAATTGCTGTGTCGTGTCCCGGCCTGAGCAAATTTCGCTCACTACCAACCGTCGGAAACGCCCTGGTTCTCGTTTGTCATCAGATCCCGAACTCTCTCCAGCCTTTTCCCACGTCGTCAGCGGCTTGACGTGCCCACGCCCGTATTGTTTCGAGTAACCATTGCTCGTCATTCTTGCCTGTGGGCGCATCTTCGCAACTGCTGTGTATCGCATGGGAACTGTCCTTGTGATGTGTTTTTTCCAATGGTCGATTCCAGGATCTGCTGAGGAGGATGCTGAAGCTGGACCCCAACGAGCGCGCGTCGATCCCCGAGATCTTCAACCACAGCTGGCTTCGGTTTCGAAATGTCACATCGCTCGACAACCAGGTAGGTAATTCATTGCGGTTTGGGTGAGGCCGTCCTGCATGCCGCACAGGTTTGCACACACGCAGGTCCGTCTCCCTGCGATACCGGGCACTCTGCCCTCTTCCGAGTCTCTCCTCATTCTTGGCTAATTACCGATCGGATTGCACTCACCCGAAACCCAACTTCGACTTGACCAAGTTCACACGACCATGCTTTCAAAACCAGCCTGGGAGGCAAGAGGGGCACGGTGGGCTGCGAGACGCGTTTCATGAGGGGACTGGCGCCGCAAGCGTCAGTCCGCGTGAATCCTTCGGCGGCGGCGGCTCTCCTAGGTTATCGACTGGGTCACGCGGGGATACGGGGGGGTCGAACAGCCCGCGGCTGTTGGCCCCGTTATTGACGAGGTCGGGCACCCCGCCAGGTAAGGACGAATCGAGGGAAAGCACTCCCAACTTGTGAAACTCAGAATCCAAGTTTGTACGTTGTATGAAGATACGAGTCTTACATCCCTAGGGTAGCGGTGACGATCTCAACGCAGTAAATAGTTGGCCAAAACAAGTGTGTCTACTCACGCTGCGTCGTAAGCCATTTTTCCTGCACTTTCCGTTTGCGGGCAGCCTAAACTCCACCACGGTATAGACTTGTGTACAGGGTCTCGTGTTGGGGGAGGCTAAGCGTGCTGTAGCACACTGCAAGAACGAAGACGCTTTCGTGCTGTAACCGGGGACATAAATGGTGCAGAGGTTTGTCGAGAAGAGCGCCAGGAACCCCTCCAGGCGCGACATTGAGCGGAGTACGCACGTGCCCAGTAACGTTGTGTGTGGCGTCCATGATTGCCCTCCGGAGTGGCATTGCCGCCCGCACGCCGCGCTTCTGGGTCCCGCGCTCGCTACTGCTGTAGGCTAACGTGAAGCAACCCACGGGAAGTACCAGCACAAAAGCGAACTAATTCCTTCTCTCCCGCTGTGTCCGACCGGTCCCGCTCGACTGCTGCCTCTTAGCAGACTGCAAGGCGCCCGCCTCGCCACGAAGGTCGGCGCCGGCGTCTCCTCGCCGCTCGCAGATCGTGCTCGATCCTCTGGAGCCCAAGTCGCCCGGGTCAGGAGCGGCACGGCGACAGCAGCAGTGGCTGGTCACCGGGGTGAACTTGGAGGAGACGAAAGGTGTTCCGCGTGATGCGGAAGCGATGGGGGGATTCGGGGGCGCTGCTGGCCCCGCAGAGTGCAAGATGTCGTTGGGACATCGAGGAGGAGGTGGAGAAGGACGAGGGGCATCTGGTCATGGTAGGGGGGGTGGGGGCATCGACGGCGACGGGGCCGGCCGATTTTACTCTCCGCACACGGTACGGTCGAATACTGTGTAGAGTTGAGGAACAATTAGGGATTCACCCTACCAGGCAATAGAACAGGTTGGGGTATGCGAATTCGGCATTCTTCAGCTGTTGGTTTTGAGAAAATAGTTCTCAAAGATGCGCTCTCTACCCGAGGCTCTTGTATGAAAGTTTGGTGTTGTCGATCGAGCCAGACGGTTGTTTCGCACATATGTGTACTTGTGCTTTCGTGTCCGTGTATATATGGGTGTCATACGGTTGTCATACGAACAATACTTAGGCATCTCTTAGCGCACAACGTTGCAACAATTTTGTTCCGGAAGTCACGCTTGTGGTAGGTTTCCGTTGTATCATGGCAGTCACTACGACGTTGGGTAAAGGAGGTTGGTTGTGATCATTTGCACCTGCTGCGCACTCGATTCGTTGCTCTTCGTTGTTCGTGGTGGGTGGAAGGGATCTGTGTAGTCCATACACCCATTTCAGAAAAACGATGATTACAGTAGCTGTCGCCGCACTTTTTGCGCGTCAGGTAGGCAGCCTTGGATGGCTCGTTCAGCAGTGACAATACATCGCCTGCGAACATCGCACCGACTCTTCTTTGCATCGGTTTGTCTTTCAAACAGACCGAGGGAGATGCCAACCACAGCGGAAGCGACAGCAGCGGCGACGAGTCGCACAACTCAAGAGTCGGACGAGGTGAGAAGAACAGCGCCACCGTGTCAAGCTCTGGGATACAAGGAAAAATGAAAAATGCCCACGACAGGACACGGACGGTGATCGCAGACCCCATATGCAGTTCCCCCACGGCCATGTTGGGATCAAGATTGCGCACGGCCGCCTACGTAGTTGTGGTGATTACTTCAGTGTTCAAGGGTTGTGCCCCCGCGCAGACCCTCTCCTCGTTGGAAGCTAAATATGTGCCTATCCCCCTTTGCTTTTCCGAGTACTTGGAATCAACGAACCGACCACCGCCCGTGCTTCAAGGGCTTTATCCCCAAACCCAGCGTTCCGCCATTGCCTGAAGTTCGTTAGGAACCCCTCATTTGCCGATGCTGCCCCGTATTCCTCGGAGAGCAGGTGGGCGTGGGCGGGACTTTACGCTGACGATGCACTCGGTTCGGGGCAGCCCCAACGGTGGCTCGGCGCACCCGGGGGGCGGGGGCGGCGGCGACGGCGGCGGTGGCGGCGATGGCGGGATAACGAAGCCAATGATTCGCATGAACTCTCGCCTCGGTGCGACCCATCCTGCCCGTTGCAAGACCCTGTCCGGTCTCGGCGGTGTCTCGTCGACCACTATCAACGTCACGTCGGGCGGGGCCGTCGCTGTATCTGGTGGTGGTGGAGGAAGCATTACGGGAGGAGCAGGAAGTGGGGGAAGCGGCGGCGGCGGCGGCGGGGGCAAAATCCGAAGCCGTACGGGCGTGATGAAGTCGAGAACGATGGACCTCAGCCACCACCTCTCGCAGCCGGCAGCGACGGCCGGCGAGCAGAGGTCGCAAGCCCCGTCAAGATCTGTGTCGCCACTGCCGTTTCAACACCACGGCAAGCACGAACACCGACGGCGGGGAACGGTCCGTCAACGAACGTGGTCGCCAAGCGAAGCGGCGGCGGCGGCGACGCAACAACAAAGCGATGAAGGCGAGACGTGGGGACAGGAAGCACCGGAGGGCGACAGACGGGACCATGACGAGGAGAGAGACCAAGAGGGGCGTGATGGGGACCGCGGCGGTGGCGGCGGTGGCGGCGACGGCCACCCAGGGGAGGAGAAGGGAACGGGCATCCTGCCACCCCTGAGCCCGAGAAGCGCTACGGACACCGACCCCTACCGAAACGACGGGGGTCACGACAGCGGTAGTAGGCCCGCGCGACATCGTACGGGTAGCAGCCCGCGCGGCGACGGGAGTGGGAGGCATCGAGATCACCACCAACAGCGGGAAGGACGAAAGTCTCGTAGAGAAAGTGGGAGCGGCAGTGGGAGTGATAACTCGCCCCCTTATCAACCTTCAATGAGGCCCACAACGTCTCCCCCCAGCACCCCGGGCGGCGGCAACAGTAGAAGTAGAGGCGGAGGGGGTGAGTGGCGCGGCAGCTGGCAGGGTTGGGGCGGCTCCTGGGATGGGAAAGAGGGAGAAGACGAAGACGATCGTAATCGCCGCGATCCCGGCCATCTATTGCCGCCGTCGTCCAATAGTCCTTTGCTCCGTGAAAAGCAGAGAGACTCCGTTGGCGATAGCGGTGCAAACAGGAGAGACGGAGAGCACGAGAACGACGTTAGTTACGGGCGCCAAGGACCATCCTCGCCCTCAAGGCTGCGCAAGTCTTCCTCCGAGGGATTGAAGCTCCCGCAATCACCGAGCCTGTAAGAGATACGCTCCATTGTGTCTGGTTTTCAAGGGAATAGCCAGTCGCACTGGTATTGCTCCCTGAACATGTACATCTGATGTACATTTCAGTCTACATTCTCAGCGCGTGCTTGTTCAGTTGAAAATGAATGGGCGACAGCAACAACTAGGTAGGATAACCCTATGGTCTTCACGGCTCGGCCTTGTCGTTCTTCCGTTGTTCCTCGACACGAAACGTAGGCGACGGCAGCAGTTGTCGCCCCAGGGACGGTCGCAAGATGATGTTGAACACAGCGACAGCAGCAACAGCAGCAGCCAGCCAGGTGCGGAGAAGCTAGGGACAGCGGAGGGGCGTGGAGCGGCCAACAAAGGCATCGCCCGTAATAATAACCTCAAGCGATCTGTCACAACGCTAACCGTAGGCGCAACCTCAGCAGCACGATCAGCAACAACAGGAGGCACCGAGCGAAGAAGTAGAGGTGACGAAGATGAACGACAAGATCGCAACGACGAGCGACCTGACGACGCGAATGGCGCCGCGAATAGCAATACCTCGAGCAGCGGGGTGTCGATGTTGGCACCGAGTATAACCATGAGCGGAACTGGGAGGATGGGCAACACCCAACGACCTCGCCGAAGTACTTTGTCTGCAACCGGCTCTGACGTGTCATCCGATGTGGCGAACGAGGGGTCGGATGCTCAAGCGCCTGACAAAGCGGCGCGGTCGGAAGGAACACCGACGACAGCTTCTGCTGCCAAAATTCCGCTTGTTCGGCGCACAAGAGGAGACTGCGATCAGACGAAGGAGCGTGGGAACGAGGAGGAGGAGGAGGAGGAGGAGGAGGAAGATGACCTGTTAACTAGAGGCCAGGAATCGTGGGGAGTTGGCGGGGACTCAAAAGGGGAAGGAACTACGCCGCGGGACGTTTGATGTGATATAATAGAGTGCATGTTACCTTAGGACCTTACGAGACGCTCAAAACGCGTAGTTTGGAATTTGTCGCGGTGTACCTGATGGAGCTCCACTTCGAAATTAATAATATTTGCCCTCAAGTTTACACTTCGAAATTAATTTTATTGGCCTTCAATATTGAAGGGTAAACTTTTTTTTTGTGGCTGGATGACCTCTGGATTACTTTGTGTTGTTTTCGTACTACAGAACGTCCCAATCCTGTCATATCTCCCCTCGTGCCTGATACATATATCTTGCGATTTTTCATCTGGTCGGCAAAGGAAGCACGCATCAAGATACTTACGTACGTGCAGCAGTGGTAGACGATCTTGAGGGCAAGGAAACGATGAACAGCAGTGACCCGGAGGGCGTACGTTTCCCGAGCGCGAAAACACACACTCCTTGATATCATGAAAGAGTTCAACAACAAGCCACCAGTACCAGGAGTCAAACTCATCGGATACGTCGACGACCTCCAAGCACATCTTCCACCAGGTTTGGCTAGGAACATGCAGGCCATATCCACTGTAACGAATTGGATTCAGGAACGTCTCTCCCAAAAAGGCATTGAGCTCAGTCTCCCGAAATCCAAAGTGCTTTTCCCGGAAGGTCTTTGCATGTCCTCTTTGACTAAACGACGAACAACACAATTGACGAAAATTGGTCTGTCAGTTGCTGAAGGTGGCATGCCAGTTGTCGGGATCCCAG